AATAAAGTGTTATTCAGCTTTAAAAAGCAATTAAGTGTCTTACATGTGACAATGTGGATATATCTTGAATATGTTATGCTAAGTAAAATAAGCTAGACACAAAAGGACAAACACTGTACAATTCCACTTATACTAGGTGTCTAGAATAGTCAGATTCAGAGAGAGAAAGCAGAGTGGTGGTTGTCAGGGTAAAGGGCCAGGTGTGATGGTGCATGGCTGTAATCCCAGCACTCAGGAGGCTGAGGCAGGAGGATTGCTATAAGTTTGAAGCCAGCCTGAGCTATATAGTGAGTGCAAGGCCAGCCTGAACTAACAGTGAGACTCTGTCTAAAAAAAAAAAAAAAAAAAAGGGTTAAGGGGAAGAGGGATGGGTAATTAATGTTTCTATGAAAACAGATGATAAAAAAGTTCTTGTGATGGCTGATGGCTGTACAACAATGTGAACGTACATGATAAAATCTAATTCCATATTAAAAGGGCTAAAGTGCTAAATTTTATATTATGTATATTTTTATTACAATAAAATTAATCTCATGAAATAAATGCCATACTGTTCAGTGGGAGTGAGGACCCCCAGAGCTTGCCAAATACTCAGTAATAGGATAGATTGGAAGACAGCTCCCTGGGGGAGAAACCAGGACCAGGAGCCATGGAGTCCTAGACCAGGCCGGACACACACTTAGCATTGCTTCTTGGTGGATTCCAACCACTAGAGGGAAGCACATCAAAGTATGAGTACTCTGAAATGTGCGGCAGGGCAGAGGCCCTTCTTTTGCTTGGGTCTCAGGACAGCTTTTACCCTTAAGATAAAAATGTAGCCCAAGGATTTTATACCCATGAAACTTTAGACATGCAAGAGACTATGAGAGTATTCTCCGTGATCTCAGAGACAGCCTGGGGATGGGTGGGGGAGACAGGAGGGAGAGGAGGGGAAGAAGAAGTTAAAAGGACCAAGATGCCGTATATCCAGGATTACACTCTTGATAGAATGAAGTTGTAACTATCGTTTAACTTTCTTGACCATTTTAACACACAGTTAGTAGCCTTAAAAATTCATGTTGTTGGGCCGGGGATTTAGCTCAGTGATTTTGCCACCTGCCTTGAAAATGCAAGGACCCAAGTTCGCTCCCCAGTACCCAAAAGAAAACGAAATTCGTGTTGCTGTGAAAAAAATTTTAAAAATAAAAATCTACATTCAAAAGACTAACAGACTGCAATAAATATTCCTATCAGACTTAATTAAAAACAATATGAAAATAGGATGATGGATGAGATGTAAATGTTAGATGCCTTGAAAATGTTGAAATATCATATTCAACATGTTTTGGGGAGGCAAAAATGGAAAAAATATTGCTTCATAGAGTAAATACACTGGTTTTCAACTTTTGATTGCTATGGGCAAAAGTTGTCATTAAAACTGACAAACCAACACAGTCACAAACATATTTGAAAGTATAAAGAGTAACATCAATAAAGTTGACATAAGTCAATTTCATCATTGTTTAAAACAGGCAATCTTTAGAAACTTTCAAAAGATAAATATTAACATTATTATGCAAATATATCTTCATACAAATAAATACAAGAAATTAACTCCCTTCTATCAGTGTTGCAGCACAGTGAGACATATAAGGGGCAGATACTTTCAGAATTTAAGACAAGCCAGAGGCAGGGAATGCATGGACTCATGAAAGGAATGTTTAAATATATTATTTGTATTCAAAAATGCTTCTGATAACAAATCGTGGCATTAAGCAGTAGCTTTCCAGATTAAGAGCCAGATTTTTATTCAAGAAATAATTGTTTTTAGTATCATTTCCAGGTAGAGGGTGGATAAAATTTTCAGTTTTTCTTATTTATACCCTCAATGGCATTCATAGCACAGATGTTACAATGCATGATGCATAAAATAAAGTGGCCAAAGGAAATTGGTCAACTAGGAATCAGAGTTAAAGGTGATGTTAACTTGCAGGTGTGGACAAGTCCCATAAGGACTTGATATTGTATATTTGTAGACCTTGGATATGAATTTAGCTCTTGGATTTCCAGGGTCTGAGTTGAAAGATAAAAATTAGGCAAATAAACTGAAGTTTTCAGACTTTAAAAAATTGAATAGTGTAATATTTACACATATTTATGGGGTAGAGTATGATAATATAATATGTCTATTCAATGCATAATTACCAAATTACAGTAATCAACACTTTTATCTCCCCAAGCATTTATCATTTCTATGTGTTGGGTCCCTTTGGGTCTTTTAATTATTTCAAAGTGTATCATAATTACCATAGACTGTAGTTACCCTACTTTGCTATAGAACACCAGAGCTAAGTCGCTCTATCTAGCTAGTGTGCTATCCATTACCTAGCCTCTTTTCACTGCCTTTTCCCTCCTGTCATTTGCCTTCTCCTCCTTTCATTTCCTTCTCCTCTAACCTTCCCATTCTCTAGTGGCCACTGTTCTGCTCTCTTCTTCTATGGGATAGAATTTTTCAGCTTCTACAAAAGAATGAAAATATGCAGTATTTGACTTTCTGTGCTTGTCTTATTTACTTTGCATTATGTCATCCAGTTCTATCCACATTTCTGCAGATGACAAGATTTCATTATTTTTATGGCTGAAAAATATTCTATTGTGTATATATACCAAATTTTCTTTCTCCATTTGAAATATTTCTGGAACATCTGGGAGAAATGTTCCTCTTAGCTCTTCCTAAAAGCATCTCAGTGTCCTTATAGCAAATACAGTCTTGCATTTCATACTATTTCATTAAGGTGTATTGGTGCCATGCTGCCAAAGCAAGATTCAGTTAGGTAAAAATTTATTCCACAAGGACCAAGTGAAGCTGATCTGGATTATAGTTCAAAAGTTAGGTAACATATCCTTGGGAAAAGAATGAAGGAATATTTAAGTAATCCTCTGTAATTTAGACTTCTCTCACTGAAGTTTTACATAGTATCTGTGAGCTCAAAGGTATCCTTGGCAGCCACTTAGAGTGGAAAACATCTTGACATCTCTTGGAAGCTTAAAATCCCTAGAACAACAGTCACACATGCTGAATAGGAGACCTCACTTCCAAAAGGTAGGGACCAAGCATGACCATGAGACCAAGAGTAAGCCTAGTTCTCTAACAGCTCCCACTTATGTCTCCTATGATGGCAAATTTTATGTGATAAGCTACAGAAGCAATTTAAGCATTGAAAAATTTTTAGACAGACATGACCAAATTCTCCCCAGGGACATGAAAATATATGAAGAAAGTCCCACAGAATATTTAATCTGATTAATATACTTTCTTTTTTGGAATTCCTGTAGAGATTTGTTGCAAACTGCAAGAAGGGCCCGAGTCTAGGTCTCAAACTCCTGAACAGTCCTTGATATGTGGTAGTCATTCAATAAAGGTTTGTTGAATGAACTTGGGAGGTACCACTATTAACAGTAAGTCAATTAAATACCAACATTCCATGGGTGGGGAACTGAAAATACACCAAGGATTTTGCATACCATAGTCCTGGGGCATGTCTCAGGAATCTGGGTACATTAATTCGTGAGGGAACCTGCCAAGGATTCAGGGTATCTTCCTTTTTAAGGGGATACACTGAAGATTCTGTGTACTGAAATCTTGTGGGTTATGGAAAGTTCTGTGTATCATATTTCTCAGGACAGTCACTCTGAGACTTCTGGGTATTGCAGTATTTGTAAGGGTTACATTGAGGATTCTGGGTAGCAGAGTCCTTGGGGATCATTCTGGGTACCTAGTCCTTGCAGAGCACCCAGAGGATTCTGGGTCCTGTGGTTGGGGGCATTGGGAGTGGGGGGCTTCTAGGTACTGCAGTACCAGACGTGGAATTGTCTGGTATTCTGGAAGGTGGGGCACAGTGTGTGCATGCAGAGGCTTTTGGGTTCTGTGGTGGATTGAGGAATGGTCAACTTAAGTGGAATGCCCAGCTGAACTGAGTCAGTGTGGTTCTGGGCGTGGAAGACCCACCTGAGGAGTGTTGCCAATGGTACAAAAGGAGAATAGGAGGGGAAGATGTATGCTGTTGATTTTCCTAGAGAAGCTTGCTGCGGCTGGTTTTCCTGATAGAAATTTGGCTGTTCTCCTTGGAGGAGCTGTGGTCCTCGCTGTCACTGGGGATGGCTGCTGTTCTCTTCAGGGGAGCTCTGGTCTTCACCTTGATTGTCACTTCCTGGCTCCAGCGTGAATCCCTTAGCCTTCTGGCACAGATCCTTTACCTGGCCTGCACAGACTTTCTAAAATCCACCACTGACCTTTGGGGCTTCCCAGTGCAGATCCTTGATGTAGATGCATGGAGGACATTTCTGTGGGCTCTAGGCCTTTGGCTGGACTTTGCAGGCTCCAAGACTTGGCTGGATTCTTTGGGTCTCCAGCACATGGACAGATTTCTTGCACTCTTCTGCCTTTGACTTTTTGGGTGAATATTATAAAATAATCCTACAAATTATGTGTGCCCTGTATTAAATCTATTCTTTTGCAAACCACTTACAACAAGTATTTTTGTCCTTCCAGGTGTCTTCCTGTTACAACAGTCATGGGTGAAGTGGTGTCCTAGGGACGTTACTGTGAACCATGATGGGTGGGGGTGACATGCTGAAGTTTCTGGGTACTGTAGTTCTGCGGTTGAGGCACACAGAATTTCTGGGAGAGAGCATCGCATGGAGGATTATGGGGTGCCAGGGTAGGGGATGTGCTAAGGCTTTGGCTGATGGTGGGGCATGCATAATCTTCTGGATAATGTAGTCTGCGGGGGGTCACACCAAGGATTCTGGATAGTGTAGTTCTATGATTGGTGCAGGAAAAGTCTTCTGGGTATTGTAGTCCTGGGTGTGGGCTGTAAGGCCAAGAATTCTGGGTACTGCAGTTGGGGGTGCACAGCAAGGGTTCTGGGTTGGGTTATCACGTGCAAGATTCTGTGACCTCTAGTGGGCAATGCTGTGACGTCAGCATCTATTGTCACCAACCTCCTCCTATCAGTTGCCCTGGTGAGCTGGACTCCTACGTACCCTCTATCCAGTAGGACAAAAGGGCTGAGAAGACCAGGATGGGTCAGAGCTGGCTACTACCGTTACTGGCCCCAGGGTGCCTACACTTGAGAGGTTCCTTCTCCCGTTACCCACCCTGCTGCGCCCAATTGGGACGCACCCCGGCCACACCCCTCCTCCTCCAGAACCCAGGCCCCGCCCCTCTCACTAGAGCTCAAGGACACCTACAGCTGAGGTGCCCTGGCTCCGCCCCCTCCCGTAACCCTCCCTGTTGTGCCCAATCCTAGCACTCCTGGGCTACACCGCTTCTCTTTCTGAACCCAGGACCCACCCCTCCCATGATCCCGACCCCGACCCCGGACACCCACGGCTGAAGAGCCTGGCCACAGGCCTCCTCTTCCTGTAGCCAGGCTCAACCCCCTCTGTCGACTTCCCCTGTTGTGCCCAATCCTGGTGCTGCCAGGCTATGCCCCTCCTCTTCATCAACCCAGGCCCGCCCCCTGCATGCCCCTCCCATGGCCCAGCCCCAGGATGCCCTTAGCTGAGGAGCCTGGCCACGCCCCTTCTCCTGTAGCCAGGCTCCGCCCCCTCCGACGACCTTACCAGTTGCACACCCTGCTCTCTGAATCTTTCCCACCTCCTGACTAAAGCACTGCAGTCAGCCATGCTTTATGTCCAGCAGAGACCCTTCTGGAGGGGTCGCCACAGAGCGCTGCTTCATCTCTCTCCTCAGCAGGCGAGGAGCCTCCTACTATGACCTTGGCCGCCTCCCCTGGGCAGGTTGAGGTGTGAGCACCTGCGGGCCTCACCAACCCCAGGCCTCACCTTCCCGCCAAGCCTGCCCCAGGCGTCCCTCATGCTGAGCAGCGTGAGTGTGAGGGGCAGCAGGTAAGGAGGGGTCTGGATGTGTGGAGAGGGGCCACACATTTATTTATAATCTCTGTTCATATAGAATACCTCAGAACCGTATTTCCCTCAGTGTAAATTACTGTTACAATGCTATTTTCAGTTTTTTAATTTAGTGACACCACTCCAGTTAAATTGGTTTTGTTTGTTTGTTTGTTTTGTTTTGTTTTTGAGACAGAATCTCACCCTGTAATTCAGGCTGGCTTTGAACTCATGGTGATCCTCCTGCCTCAGCCTCCTGAGTGATAGGATTACAGGTGTGTGGCACCACTCTTGGTTTAAACGTCTTGTTTATCAGTAACTACAGGATTGGTGTCTAACTTTCAATGCCAGTCAGTGATGACTGTCACAGCAGAGTTAAATGGCTTTCTTGCTGTTCAGCTGTTACAGGCCCAAGATTGTTAGAGCATCTTTGAATGTCTCATCTTTTTTAGACTGTCAGTAAGTACAGTTTGTCAAATAACTTTTGAGGCACTGGGACATACCTGAATTAAGAATGAGCTCATCTTTTACTTGTCTTTATACCCAAAGTCAAGTATCCCAGCTAAAGTGTGTACATACCCTGTCTGGAATTCCCACACTTCCCCAATTCAGTCAGAGACGAGAGAGGAGGAAACACTTTTGATTAAGATGTGGGGTTGGGAGAGTGAAAGAATTTTTTTTTGTAGACGTTACCCTTTTGCAAATATTAAAAATGGGGAGTACACAGTAGAAAAAGTATACAGTAGTTAAAACATTTTCTCTATAAATTGTTAACCTTTAGAGATATAATGGCTGCTAAAAATAGAGTCCTTACACTAAAGAAAAATTTATGCCATTTTGAAAATAAAATCTTATTCCATAAATGCAGCCCAAATAAATATTAATGTTAGCTCACAAATCAGTGCTGTCAGGGGAATGAGTAAAGTAGAAAAACTTTCAACCAGTGGCTTTTTATTCTAAATTATGTAGTATAATCAAACATGGTCATACAGAATTTTTATATTTTTCTTTGTACAGAGGTTATGTATTCTGGGTATTTTTTTTAAATGAAACAGTTTAAATCCCACAAATCAGCATTTTCCATCATTCATGAGTGAACTAAGATTTTCTCAGTACTCTGAAACTTCTTTAAATTATATGCTTAACAGCTGAGATGCTGGATTATTTTTGTATATATGACTGCTTCCATCTGAAATACTGTCACAAGTACTTAAAGGAAAATTTATCTTGTACATGATATTTTTAGAGTTGATAATGCATTAACTTATTTTATAAACCCTTAGACTATATATCTGGGCTATAAAATGTACAGTTTAACATCAACTATCTTTAAATACTGTTGTTGGGCCAGGGATTTAGCTAAGTGGTTCTGGCACCTGCCTTGCCAGCACAAGGTCCCAAGTTTGATCCCCAGTACCAAAAAAAACCATACTGTTGTATAAGTTTCTTTGGTTAGAAACATTTGGACATGTAGTGCCACTTGGGTCAGGATTTTCTTCAGTGCCATTTATTTAGCAAACTATCTTTGGTGTATGCAACTAGCAACAATTTGTGTGATACAATAGAATATAGTTCTCACAGTTAACTTTCACATGAGGAGTTCTGGAAACTAGTCTAGCAAAATTAGAGGGAAAGTTCTGAGAATATTTCAGAGAAAAAGTTAACATTTTCAGGCTAAATAGTTGAACCTACTAAAGATAACAAATAATGTCTATTATCTCAACGCTCCAAAGTTTGGGTTTAGTGTTGAACTATCATTTGAGCTTATTTATGAGGTAGCTGAATAAAAGTAGGCAGCTAAATTTTAGTTTCATGTTCCTCCTGTATAAACAGAAAATAAGCAGTTATT